TCTTCCTTCATGGTGCCCATCTACATTAAGATCCAAAATTCTGAGATTAAAGTCAGAATTATAAGAAAAAAGTTAGAATTCTGAGATTAAAGTCATAATTCTGACTTTTTTTCCTCATATTATAGTGAAATAAAATTTAAAAAAAAATCAGTTAGCTTTTTTTTATTTTTCAGTGGCCCTAATCCTCTTCCATAAACTAGGCTAGAAACAGAAATTATTTTTTTTTTAACGGCACTAGTGGTTTTTCAAGAGTAGGCTGACAGGAAAGGGGGTATGAGAGAGGGGGAGAGATATGCAGCAAAAGACCACAGTTCAGATTCGAACCTGGGTCAGCTGTGTCGAGGTCTAAGGCCTCCATACATGGGTCTTGTACGCAAACCACTGCAAGTTCAACTTTATTTGTTGTTTGTTTTTCTCTCTAAAATTTGAGAAAAACATTTTATGGACCAACAAAGTAGAAAATATTTGATCTAAACAGTTCTGATATATTCCGTAAAAATTCAAAAAATATCCACTGGACTTGGTTTTCAAGATTTGAAGACGTTTCGCCACCTCTCCAGGAAGCTTTCTCAATTCAAATGTCTGGATCCGCAGTGAGTTTGAGTCTTATATAGACAACGCATTGTATCGCTTGGAAACATGCAATGGTAACCGATGAATGGGTCGTTAGTTCCATCGTTAGCCTGTAATATCTGAACCTGTCTATGATTGTCTGTTCTGATATACAACATTTCATTCAAGAATCAACATATTGTGATATTAAAATGTTGTGTATTTAATCTATTGCTGATCAGGTTAAAAGAAATGATCACACAATGAAAGAACTCTGTTTTTGAAGTTTGGAAAACTACTTTGAATATTTTAAATTTGATACCAAGGTTGGACCATTCCTTTATAACCACTCTAGCCTAAGATCTGATTTTATGCACTTTAATTATCGTATGTTTTAAACTTTTTTTAGCTGTAATTACTGAACAAATGCACAATTTTTGAATGACCAACAGAGGGGTGGATATTCCTTAAAATCTCCCCCCAAACTCTTCAATGAATTTTCCTTCTCAGTCCTCTAAAGGCTTCATCTTATAACCTTTGTTTAACTTTCCACAAATCTGCCTGGAGATGGCATTCTGAGCACAGCCAGCTACTCTAGAAAAGACAGTGGTTTACCTTCCATGTGGACGACTGTCTGCTAAACAACTGTAGAGTCATGACTGTGTAGGCCATCACATCACATTTGTGTAACAGTAATTCCTTCCCCTTCCCTTTAACAGAAAACATTTGCATGTATTACCTCTAAATCAACTTAATCAATGTAAATATAAATATATCACAATTATATTTGGGGATTTTTTTGTGGTTGAAGGCGAATTAGTCAAAGGTAACTGAAATAACGCCACATTATAAACATATGTCATTTTTCTATTGGATTGTGAAAATATTTAATGTTTAAAATGACATAAAATAAAAACATTTTATTCATTTAAAAAAAACTCACATCTTGGGTAAAAAAAAAACTTTATTAAAAAGGACTACAACATAAAACAAAGTTTGGGGACATAGTTGTGTAACATTGTGCTGTTCTTAAAAAATTATGTTTCATTGAATAATGCAACATTGGAAAATGCTATTTGGCACTTAGAAAAAAAAATTCAATTATTGCATACTTAATACAAAACATTGATGTATTTCTTTAATTCATGATTACATAGATGTCAGTAAATAATGTAATAATAATAATGCACGTGGAACTTTAGATAGCATATTGAAAGTTTTGTAGGTACTGGCATTTAAAAAAGAAAAAAACCCACTGTAGCACATGTTCAGTCGTTTCTGCGCAGCATAGAACAGGAATGATGATAGTGTTATGCACTGATCCAGACTAGAGTAACGAGTCATTATCAAAAAGTGATTGCACTAAGACGAGCCTTTGGCAGGAAAGAAAAAAATAACATAAGGCAGTAAGAGGTCAAATCATGCAGATGAAAAGTTCCCATAAAACTTAAGGCACATGAAAAAGAAAAGATCAATCAACTCTGCAACAGATAAAAAAATAATCAAATCAAAAGGCCTGTATTGAGGAGTGTTGTCGTTCATTTTTAACACTAAATATCTACACTAAAGAAAAGTAACTGACCTCTAATCAGTAACATTCAAGGTAAATAAGACAACTGCAGACTGGACTGCACAGAATCCGGAACTTAGACCAATAAACTCCATGGATAAACAGCCTCTTTTTTTCCCCCAATGGAGCGAGAGACTCGAAGGGGAATAAGTGACAAGTACTCTTATGACACAGCATCATCTGGCCGCTGGATAACAGGGACTAAAAATAAAAGGGGTTCTCTCGCTTTGAGCAGGACATCCATCTCCCCACATGGAGCCGCAGCAAAGATGCTCTCATGTTAGCAGCTGCAAAACCCAGAAGAATCTTGGGATTGATTATTTTACAGCAGCGATGGGATCCTGGTTTTAGTTGGCACAAGTCGGTGGAAATGTACGGCTAAGAGCGTGTGTGTAATACTTTCCATACATACTTTGTCTCATTTAAAGATAAAACTTAAGCGTATTTTAGGAATGTAAAAACTCCCAAAACAAATCTGAAAGGTACATGGTTTTTCCCCCTCTTAAAATAATATCCAGTAACACTAGCCTACCACATGTCACCTAATTAGTAAATAAGACTTTATCTGTGCATTATTTAATTTCTGTATACATCCAGCTGTTCTGCAAAGGCCTCAGAGGATTGATCAAAAATAGACTTTGTCTGCTTTGAATGCTCATATGTTTAAAGTGGGTAAAGAGTAAAGTCCTAAGAGAGCGACAGAGACAGAAGTAAAAATAAAAAGCTAAAAGAATCACACAATGTAAGTTGATTGATTCAGCAATAGCATGACACTGAGCAGCCCTAAATGGAGGTTAACCTAAATGTGGGTCTGGATCATGTCTTTAAGATCTCATGTTGCGCTCTAGACCCCCCAAAAGAGGCTACTAATAACTTTGACCAAGGATTTTACAAAACATAGTGTTTAAAAAAACGACTGTGAGGAAGGTTTTCTTTTCCATTCAGCAAGGAGTAAAAAAAGGAATGTTTTAGATCAAAGCACAATCATAGGTTCAAATGGCCTATTCAAAGTCCAGAAAAGAATCTACTCTCCAATAACCTATCCTGCAAGTTGAATTCTTATGCATTGACAAACACAATAGAGAATCTGTGTTCTCCTGGGTCGACCCTTCCAGACTGTCCTGAAACAGGTCAGCCAATTGAGTTGTAGTATTATGGATTAAGGCAGGACATATAGTAGCTGCAGCTTCAACTATTACATCAGAATCCATGCATTCATCTTTGATAGAGGAACCTCAAGAACATAAAAGCCTAAGTTGTTGTCATTCCTCATGCCGTCTACTGCCATTTGTTACCATGATTGGCAAAAACCAATCTTTGCAACAGAAAAATAGGAAACTATTTCCGTTTCCAGATGTGCAAAACCGGCAGATGTACCTAAAAATGTCTTGGAGCTGTAAACGCAGAATGGGAAAGCTGACTATGAAGGGTTTAATAAATATGCATGCAATACTTCTAAGATTGTTATTTTTAAATTATAAACTCAAAATCAAATATCCTTTTCAGTGGTGCAATGCCTTGTGTTGCCTTAACACAGATCCAACCAGTAAAATATTTGAAGTCGTTGGTTGTAACGTGATCAAGTTTATGCTTTATAACACTCAGGAAGTTATTGCATTGATTCTAGTGTTTACTTCTTACTTTTAAGAATGCATCGACTTTTTTTTACAATAATATAAAACTTAAAAGAAAGAAGGAAATAAAAAAACTGCATGAAAATGATCTGCAGAAACTGCTGTAGAAAACTGTCTGCATTTGGAAATCTGTGCATACTTTGTAGTGTGTTTTTATATATACTTTTTGGGTGATAACTGTGGTAAAAAAAAAAAAAGAAGCTAATTTTGAGGTTTTTAAGTGCAGAACACAAAGTGTTTGATATTTGAAAAAAAAAAATTACATACACATTATTGTATTATTATTTCATGCCAGAGAAGAATGGAAGACAGTCAATAAAGTTTTGCTTCTGTAGAAACAATAAGACTGTGTTTTTCCAGCTACATCAAACTGTTTCATTCTGTTCTGTCTGGAAAGCTTAGGAAGAACATCGGGTCTAAAGGGAGTGACTGAACGGTTCACTGGCTCTGCAGCCACTGCACTCTCAGCTCCTCCACCTCCCTGCCGTACCAGTCGTGGAGTTTGGAGAAGCAGCCGGTGTCGGGAGAGACCGGGCTCTCAAGTGACGCACCCAACCTCCGCGGGGGGACTGGTGGAGCTCTCCCACCATCTGCCCCACATCCTGTGACGATCCCAGAGTCCGTGCTGCCATCCCAGGTCACGCAGGACGGCGCCGCCTCCCCAGATCCGTTAGCCGAGGCAGATGGAGGCTTGCTCCATGCCACTCCATTCTCCCTAGAATTCCCAGGGATGAGCTGCACCTCATCCTGAAGACTCTTCTGAGCAGAGTAAACAGCTGACATGGAAGGAGCGCTAGATGACGTAGAAAGGGAAGATGAAGACGACGAAGAGGAGGATGCGGCAGATTTGGATCGTGCCATCTGATTCCGCCGGGAAGGCTTCGGCCTGCCCTGCTGGCCTCCAGCTCCTGAAGCATCCTGAATCTCCTCCAGCTGCCTCTCCAGCTCCTTCACCACCAGCCTCATGTAGTCAAAGCTGGCCCTAGACAGAGCTTTCACCCATGACTCCATGGCGACCTGGTTCTCTGCAGCCAGCTTGTACACCCTCGCCTTGGCGCAGTCGAACTTGATGGCGAAGGCGAACTCCTCCACGGACTCGCACAGCTCCACGGTGCAGCCCTCCAGTACGATCACACCGATCGGCTCTCTGCTGTCTCGCTCTTCAAAGTAGAAGAGCATGTTGCCCTTGAGAACGAACCAGCGGCGGTGATATGCCGTGTTGCGCTCGCCCTTTTTGAACAGAAAGCCCGTCTTGTCTGGTGGCGAGTCACAGGTGGCGTAGTGCGCCACGCTGCGTTCGTTTAGCTTCATCTTCTACGCCCTACAGAACCTTCAATCGCCTGAAAAAAGGACAGACATGAAATGTAACAACAGCTAATATCTATTATATACAGTGCATTGTGTGGACACTTCCTCCAGCCTGGGCTAAGATTGTACCACGTCATCAAAAAAAATAAAAAATGAAGGAGAAGGAGCGCATGCTTCAGTAGTATTGCTGATAAACTGCAAAAAAAAAAAACACTAAATAACAATAATTTTAATATTTGAACTTTATTGATCTCCCATTGGAGAAATTTACCCCTGCATTTAACCCATCCCCTTAGAGAGCAGTGGGCTGTCATCGTGCGGAGCCTGGGGATCAGGGGTTGAGGGTTTTGCTCCGGAACCCATAGTGGAGGCTGTGGGGATCGAACCGGGTACTGCAGCCCTACTTGCTCTAACCCACTAGGCCGGGGGTCGGCAACCTGCGGCTCTTTAGTGTCCCCCATGCGGCTCCCTGTAGCTTTTTAAAAAATCTATTTTTTTTTTTGTTTTGTTTGTCTTAATATGGTGTGCAGGAGGTCAAACAAAATGAATTATGTTTTCCAATGCTGTAAACATTTGTATAATGTATAAATAAATGTAAACAATAATTTGCGTCATAGCCATAGAGATCAGTGGTCATAACTTGCAAACAAAGCTGCAGGTGTGTCTCAGACCATGGATCCCAAAGGGAAAAAAAGAAGATGGCTGATAAGAAAAGAGGATTCAAAGAATGGACTGAATCATTTGCTTTCATTATCAATGCGGAAGGATTGCCTGCATTTTTGCTTTGTAATGAGATGTTGTCAAAAAATAAAAAATAAAAATTGGAAAGGCATTTCCAGGGAAGGCTAAATATGAAGCCAATCACAAAAAGTTAAAAGTGAGGAAAAGAGTTTGCAGAACTCCTGGATAAATTAGAGGAGCGCAAAGATTGCATCTCCAAACTCCACTACTGCTGCTAGTTTTGTTGCAAGGATGGAAAACCATCCACACAAGTAGCTCTCTGATGCAGGTATGTGAACTTTCTTCCATTTTTCCCCCAAATCCTCAAAATATAAATAACACCAAGGAACGCTGGTGACGGAGGATGTCGGGTTTCAGGGTTAGAGAGCTCGGCTCTGATTGACGTTAGTTCCATATGACTAATTCAGCTCTTCTCAACAGAAACATGTCCACCATAGTAAGATTCCTTATTCTATAATTTCATCAATGTAACAAAACCTAAACCGTGCAGTGAAGGGCGGTGAGAGCGTTCACTGCTCCTCCCCCATCTCATGCTACTATGTAACATTTGCACAGGATAAACATTTAATCATGAATGATTGTTATATATTTAAGCCCACATTGTCCATTTCTAAAGTGGGATAACACTTGGAGCCCGTGTTGCCATATGAGGCTTATATAAGACTTTTACATTTTTGCGGCTCCAGACAGACTTATTTTAGTTTTTTTTGGTCCAATATGGCTCTTTGAGCAGTTTGGGTTGCCGACCCCTGAGTTAGGCCAACACTCCCCATGACTCCAAGATGTTTAAAGAGGTTGTTAATGACCAGTAAACTGTCTGAAACTGACTATGGAGGTGCAGAAACCTGCCATATTTCAATAGAGGAAACCTTCTGTCACAGATTTTTTTTTTTGCCATGCAACAGCAGGCAAAAACAAAACCTGCTAAATACAGGGTTGCCAACTTTTAACCAAACCTTGGGGGGAGATTTTAAAATAGTTTGGACAGGAAACTCTTTCAGGGTTAGATGAGGATGGGTGCAGCTATAGGTTGGAGGTTTTCAGAGGATTTAACTGAAACAAAGCGGCAAAATATGAATTTTTTATAGCTGCGTAACAATAAGTGATCTGTAGTTACCTGGAACATTTTTCTGACAATATACATTATTTTCTACTTTCTGGTGATTTGTAGAGAACTAAAGTAAAGCAGAATGGGTCCTACTAAAATACTTGCATCTTAAATATACTTTAAGAATTTCACAACTTTGTTCATTAATTATTCTCTGCAGTTCAAGTAAATTAAACAATGGGGAACTAATAAGTTATTACTGGATTACTGGCACTGATACAGGAACCAGTGCAATTGAAACCTATGCAAACTTTACTATGTATGAATATTTGGTAATAAGCTAACGAATAAAACGCTTCATTCATTATGTTATTAGTTACAATTAATCTTACAATTGGCACAAACTCATCATGACAGGAGACAGCACTTCTCTGAATGTTTCATTTGGAAAGTGTGATGGTAATTGAGTTTTTAAACATATTCAATGGACCAAAATAAAGATAAATGAATAAGATAAGTAATAATAAAAGAACATTCCTGTGATTTATCCTCTATGAATCCAGGATAAATGACTTTTTCTGCACATCCTCTCTGAATGTGGTTGGTCTTTTTATGGGTGGCTGATCATTTGAAAAATAAAATGCAATCATTATTTTTCTTTTTGTGGACCTCCTATGGGTTTGAGAAGCAAACCTGGAAGCTTTAAGAATTAAAATATTTGTGTTGGTTTAATTACTCCTAAATGCCAACAGGAGATTATTAAACTAGACTAAGCACTAATTATTTAACTTGAGCAAAACATGGACTAAAACTGGGACTAAAAAAAGCACCAGGTAAAGAGAAAAACAAACCATTGGATGTGATCCTACACTCAGCCTCCACAGCAATAATATAAGCAAGCTGCTTTATTTTTTATTCATATTTACTCAAGTACTATACAAAATAACATAAATAAGTGGAACCGAGTTGAGTTTTAACGCCTGTCATCTTTTAGTGTGAGAAACTGGGATTATGGAGTGAGAGTGTGTGAAAACACTGAGATGAGAGTTCAATTCAATTTCAATTCAATTTATTTCTATAGCGCTAATTCACAACACATGACATCAAGGCACTTTACAATTCACCAGATCATAAAGTCAAATTGATTCAAAGTTTTCTATCTAAGGAAAACCAGTTGATTGCATCGATTCGTTGACTCAAATGCAATCCCTCACACTAAGCATGCTTGTAGCGACAGTGGAGAGGAAAAACTCCCTTTTAACAGGAAGAAACCTCCAGCAGAACCAGGCTGGGTGTGAGCGGCCATCTGCCGAGGCCGACTTGGGTCGCCAGCCCTGTAAACAAACCCGTTTCTTCGACTTACTATTTAAGATGAAAATCTATTCTTGGTATTACTTCAACCAAAATTCCACACTAGTCTCCTCCCTCTTAAGATAAGATAGAAAAAGCATATTTTTACTTTCATTTCCTGGCAGTTAAAGCCCTGTTTAAAAAAAAAAAAAAGCACCTTTAAATCCAAATGGTTTTATTTGACACTTCATAATCACATGTCCAGCAATAAACCAGATATTTTTACGGAGTAAACAACATCTAATCCAGCTGTTCTCCTTTTACTTCAGCCCTCATTATTATTTCTATTTTAATTTAAAAACAGCAATAAATGGATGATGGTAAATAGAGATTATTTCTTACGTGTTTGTCTCATGTCCAGATGACATCCACCCGCTGATCCAGTCACATCTGGCATCGATTCTCCACCTTTCATCCCGTCTCCTGAGGCGCAGAGCAGAGGACTGAATCAGGATGCAGTCTGACCAAAACAGGCGGTTTAAATGACTGGATGGGTTGGTTTTTTTTTTGTTGCACCTCTAGAGCTAAGGAGGGGGGAGATGATTCAGCCCTCTGCTGTTGGGTCACAAGCTTTTGACGCATCAGCACTTTAGCAGAAACCTATTCCTGACAACTCGACACATTTATTCATGCGAGAAAACACGCAATAAACTTTTATTAACCCCTTTTGCGAAAAGCCAGCCTCACTCCTCCGTGCCAACTAGCTAGAATTTAACGCTTCCTTTAGTAGAAAAAGAAGCATCCCCAGAGTTCATAACAGTACTTCCAACGTCTCAGGAGAACAAAGCGAGTACCTGCGGATGTGCTCTTCGAGGGTTTTCCTTCCGTAGATTGTTTTATTTCTAGTTCTTCATCGCCTTTCCATTTTTTCCTCCCGTTTCTATGCTTCCCTGTCACGTGACCTATCAAAAAGACGCTTGTTGTTTTTACCGGGAGCGGCTGGCGTGGGCGGTTCCACTACCGCTCTGGTGAAGCGCCTTCATTCCCGGTTGAGCTGGAGAGCAAAATATGCACAACACGTCGTTGTCCTTGGAAATGTGTAGCTGCAAGATGCTGTCGAAGAAGCATGGACGGTTCTATACAGGGGGGCCAGCAGGGGCCAGGCGGGGCCCCTGGAGAACTTGTTCTGCCAGCTGTTAATGGTTCTTATTCTAATAATATACACCAGGGGTAACCAATTAAAAAATCAGCAGAATAAAGAAAATCATCAACCAGTAAAGGTCCGGAGACATTTTTTATTATTTGTTACTTTAAACAGAATTTAACACCAAAATAAAATGAGGTGTTTATGCATTCATGTTATACATTGAATTTTGAAATTAAAAAAATATAAAACAAAATTATAGAACATCAATCTTTCATTTTGGTATATAGACAATTTCCTGATTCACATTTTTTTCAAAACTCCTGAAATGACTTTTTTATTTATTTATTTATTTA